TAATTCAATGTCTAGTTATGCCACTTAGCAACTATATACACCTACAAAAAACTCTTAGAGCCTTATCTGCAAAACGAGAAAGATAATGCTTACGGGCTAGGGGCGTTGCTCAGTGGTAGAGTATGCACCTTACATGACAAGGCCCTGGGTTCAATCCCCAGCACCAAATAAATGAATAAATAAATAAAGCCTATCTAAGGGGATCTTTAAAAGATAATGAGATAGTATATACAAATTAAATAGTTCCATAAATAGTAGTAATTATATAAGTATTACTGTAAGCAAGACTTTATTTTATACATATACTGGGTACTTGCTGTTTTCTGATTTTTTTTAAAATATAAGACTTCAGAAAGCTCCCTGACTTAAGAGGTTATTTCTAATGCTCTAGGCATTACACTGATCTCTTTCTTCATGAGTGCTGAGTGTCATAAGGCTTGTTTTGGAGTGGGGTTTAAGGACTGTCACATGAAGATCCTCTCTCCACTTTTGATTCATTCACTACAGTCAATATTGCTCCAATTTCTATTAAGTAAAAGGTTTTCTCTAATCCATATACACTGAACTATGCTTGACATTGGTGAGATACAAGAGAGTAATTGCTTTGAGAAGATTCTAGTAACATCAAAACACAAGGGTAGGGCTAAGTGATTTGCCAGGCAGCTTTTAAAATTATTCATTATAAAAGCAAGAAGAAAAAAGAGATTTGCTTTGGTTTAAGGCAAGGCTTTGACTAATTTTTTGAACTACAATTCCCAGAATGCCACCTACCTTATAGAAATGAACTCTATTTGAATTTCAAATTGTGTATGTTCTGAACTCAAATATGAGCAAAAATACATTTAGGAAAGATTTCTAAGACTAATGTGAGGCAGAGAGAGGAATCAATAACTAAACTGTCCCTGAGTAACATTTTTGAAGTATTATTTACTCAACTGCCTCAGGTCTGTTTTCCTTTACATTGTGAAACTGGTCCTCATATGTTCAATGAATGAACTATGTTCTGACAATTACAGAGTTATAACCCATTTCTAATTATGCCCCAAGGTTATAGTCTATCACTCACCATTTCCAAGGCAAGTCAATCTGAGCAAGACAGCATTTTATTTAAGGAACTCTGAATCAAAATACTAAAAATCTAACCATAATTTTGATTTTTTTGTAAGCATTATTCTTTATTACTTAAAATATATTAAATAGTTTTTAAATTGCCTTTTGGTTAAAAAAAAAAAGAAAACAGGGTTAAAGTCAGGTCCCTCAGCATCAGAAAAAAGGAGGAAAAACTGAAAAATTGGGAGAGAAGAAGGTCACTTAATGGATTCTTGCCTTTTTGTTTGTTTGTTTGTTTTTTATCTTAAAAGTACAGACAAGGACACTTTGTACAAGGCAAAAGATTTTTCCTTTCTGATGCCCTCATTTCTGTAAATAAAACTATACCATTTACTATCTAAGAGACTCTGAATGTCTTAGTTTAGAGCCATGATAAAAACATGGCTTAGGACCAAGTGAGAATGCCTGAGCTTTCTGCTCCAGCGCTCACTAAATACATGAATGGGTATAATATAACTTCTTGACACTCATTTACAACCTCAAGGTGTGATCATTACAGTGTCTACCTATCAGGGCTGCCATAGGATTTAAATGAGGTAATACATGTAAAGAGTTTTGCACAGTGATGGGCTTATGTTTAGCATTCTGAAATGCCAGCTATTGTTATTAAATTTACTCTTTGACTTCTCTTGTTCCTAATATCCATATCTAAGCTGTACCAAGCTCTATCAATTATTTCATATACCTTTCAATTAAAATATTGTTTAAAAAAAAAAAAAAACCAAAACCCTGAGCTGGGCACGGTGGCACACACCTGTAATCCCAGCGGCTTGGGAGACTGAGATACTTGAGAGCCAGCCTCAGCAATGGCAAAGCGCTTAGCACCTCAATGAGACCCTGTCTCTAAATAAAATATAAAATAGGGTTGGGGATGTGGCTCAGTGGTTGGCGCCCCTGAGTTCAATCCCTGGTACAAACAAAACAAAACAAAACCTGAGAACATCCCATGTCCCATGTGTGATCAGATAATTATACCATGGCACCTCTAGATACTGAAATACAGAGTAGCATGAAAAACATAAATCACGGGCTGGAGATGTGGCTCAAGCGGTAGCGCGATTGCCTGGCATGCGTGCGGCCCGGGGTTCGATCCTCAGCACCACATGCAAAACAAAGATGTTGTGTCTGCCGAGAACTAATAAATAAATATTAAAAAAAAATTAAAAAAAAAAAAAAAAAAAAAAAAAAGAAAAACATAAATCACATCTACAAATGTAGGAAAATACTCAATACTTATAACATTTAGTGGAATGAAATAAACCGATGCCAAAGAGTGTCTGAATTGATCTCTTTTGGATAAAAACATGCTGACAAGTCATCAGGAAAAGTAGCTGAAATCTATAAAAAGAATTTTATAACCTGTCAGAGTGGCAAAAGTTAGAAAGACTAGGTAACCGTGAGGACTGAAGACTTGCAGATACTGTGAGGAAATTCTTGCACATCTACCCAAAGAGACACAAGGATGTGTACAGAATATTATGTTAAATAAGAAAAATGAAAACAACCTAAATTCTCTTCAATGGGTAAGGGTCAGTTGTATGTTCACACAGCAAAACTTATTCAGAAGTTTCAAAATGAATGACCACAGTCCTCAGCTGAAAAAGATAATGATAAACTGTTAAGACAATGATGCTGACTGAACAAACAGGGAGAAAAATACAATACAATACAAATATATCTACTGATTATAGATTGTCTATGAAAGAAATGAATAGAAGATTGAAAGAACAGTGCAAACCCACATAAATGCATGTTGGGTTATCTCTGAGGAGGAAGATAGGGGAATGTATTTGAGAAGGGGTAAAGGAAACTCTATCTGTAATGTTTTATGGCTTGAAGAATTTAAACAAATATGGCAATCAGGGTTATGTCATCTTTTCCCCTGTACTTTTCTGTAGGCTAGAAGTTTCTCATAATTACAAAAATTGATATTAGTAACAAAACAAGTCCTCCATTAGAGCACTATGCCCTTAGACCAGCTATTTCATCTCCGTTGGCCTCACTTTTCCTCTCTGGAAAATGACGCTCTCAGCACCTTCCCTGCAAGGTCACAGTGAAGAGCTGAGTGAAACTACAGATGGGCCTTCAAAAGGTGGCATCATTATTGTGACAGTCTCATTACCCTCTGATAGTCTCTCTGCCCATTGAGTCTTTATTCTTTAATTTAAAATGCAGCAGCATGTAGAATAACTGCCTTGACCACTGCTTCATCTCACTGCCCTCCCTAAGAACCTGTCCTCTTTTCTCCTGGCTGACCCAATCCAGTCCCAATCAAGCATTCTGTCTCACCAAAATCATCCTGGAACACCTCTGTGGCATCATTTTTCCCTTACTGTGTATCTGGAGATCCCCTAAGATGCATATGAGATTCATTTAACTTGATATCCCCAGTAAAAGGAAGAGGAGGGGAAGTAAAAAAGGAAGAAAATGACTTAGGACTGGGATCCAATTTTGGCTCCCACTGGAGTCCTTACCATGACTGTATCCCTAGGACAAATCCTTTGAGTTCTCTGGTGTGGAGGAGTTACACTCAATGACCTGTAAATTTGTCTTGCAGTTAGAGGTGCTTTTAAAAGCCCCTATTTTCAGATTCCTACTCAAACAATTTTCCCATGCAAATTAGATGTAACCCCCATAGACTCCCTAATGTGCCACAAACATGTCATTCTAATTGTGACCTTCTATCCAAATCTTGATTTCAAAATGATGCCCAAGTTCTAGGCCTTTTAATCAACTTTACTTAACATATTTGACACCTCATTTAAAAACAAAATCAATATAGGCCAGGAGTTGTGGCTCAGTGGTAGAGTGCTTGCCTAGCATGTGTGAGGCACTGGGTTCAATTCTCAGCACCACATATTTAAAATAAAGGTCCATTGACAACTAAAAAATTTTTTAAAAAATCAATGTAATATGATTTACAAGAGCTAGTCACTGTTCTAAACACTTTGCATATATTATTTTAGCTTCATAACTCTGCAACTATTGTTATTATGCCCTTTTTACTGATGAGGAAACTGAGACACAAAAGCATTAAATGGACTTGACCAACACTGTATAGCTAGTAAGTGGCAGAACCAGTATTTGAACCTAAGTGGTCTGCTTTATATTCTATGAACTTGTCCACCACACTAAAACTCCTTTTTTTTTCATTTTTTTTATTAGTTGCACATGACAATACAATGATCTTGACATATCATACATTTGAATCAAATGGGTAAAACTCCCTTCTTAATAACTTCTTCTGTAATGAAGCTGTAATCATGTAATTTACAGCTTCATTAAAATGGATTATTTTTATTCCCTTACGTTTTTTTAGTAGCTCATAGCATATAGTTAAATCCCATAAGTGATGATTATTAGATGAAATCTGTATGTGATCATTCAGACCCCAGGAGATCAGCCTCTATTAGCTATGAAAAAAGGGGCCAGATAGGATTCTACCACCAATTATTTGTATTTTATTGACATTCATAGCAATCCTGTGAGACAAGCAGTCTAGATCAATTAACAGATGAGAACAAGTGGGTTGTAGAAATTAAGTAAGCTTACTTCAAATGTGACACTAAACAGCACACTTAGACCAAATTAAGACCATTAGACTTCACATACATACTTTTTTTAATATCAGGATTTCTCTAAGGTGAGGTCATAGCAATGGAGACACTTGGAATATGGATAAAAAATAAGGAATATAAGAAATGCAAATGCCCTTTTAAAATACCCATTGTTTTAATTTAAAAAAGAAATCAATGTGACAAAAACCAAGGAGCCATGCTGTCCTTAGCTGCTTAGAGACCTGTCTCACATACATTACAAGGTGTGTGCCAGGTGAGCCTGTCCTTACTGGTACAGGATTATTTATGACTATATACAAGCCAACTCCTTACCTGTTATTCACGTCATTATCCTGGACCGGGAGGTCTCCTTGGATGGCCATCTGAGCTACTTTTCTGCTTGCTTCCTCTTCTGTTTCACTCAAGCTTTCCCTCTGAGGACTGCCCTCTAGGCTGTCAGGCTCCACATCTACATCCTGGATTTGGTCCTCAAGTTCAGACTGGGACTCGAACTCTTGAGTGAGGCTTTCTGAATCTGATTCCAAGGAGTCTTCTGAAATCAGATTTAAGTCTTCTTTCTTACGGAGTGGGTTTGAGGACTGGACATTTAAGTTGGTATGATGGACAGGAGATTGAACGGAAAGCTTGGGAATTAGTTTACTCTTACTCATTTTGAAAAATTCAGAAATCAACAGGAGATAGTCTTGATAGGAACAGTTGGCTGGTAATTTCTGGTTTGCAAAATCGTTACCTAAAAAATTTATATTTATGTTACTCTATGACTACTGAAAACTCCTTAATGTCAATATTTATAAAAAATTTCAACAAGTAAGAGAACCTTGTTATATTATCTGCAGGCTTTTGTATGTAGCAATAGCTATTGGAAAAACAATTGTGTTTCCTCTCTTACACAAACATCTGATTTAGAGCTCATAAACAGCCCAAGTAATCAAATGCTGTTTCACTGAGGAAATCAAATGGTTGCTTAAAAGCAGATTCCCTTTTCCAGCTTCCAAGGGCTTGCTACAGACAAGCCAGCGGAAAGCCAATAGTTAATTATGGACGGTACCTTGATGGTACTTTATTTCATTATGGACAGTACCTTCTTTCAAATGGCCCAGGCAACAACTTATCCTGTTCAGCAGTATTCATGGGTAGAGTAAAACAGGTTCAGAGTCTACCTTTCGGAAAATACAGAAAAGAGAAAGAAAAGTATGGTTTCCATAGTTGGAGGTGGTTTTGTTCCTAGATCTATTTTGGCCAGCTACATCATTTGGAAAAGACCATTTGATATCCTGGCTGCCACTAGAGAGAAATATATAATTTAGGCGCTTATAAGGAAATCAAACTCAGCTCAGTATTAAACAATATAATAATAATAATAATAATAATAATAATAATAATAAACTATTCAACAAAATATTTGGGAACCTTGCTGATCCTTCCACTGAGCCAACAAGCAGAGGCTGGAAGTCACCGATATGAAAGGGATGCTATCCTGGGGATGACAGTTGGGTGGGTGGGAGACTGAACTGAATGACTGCTAGGAATTAGTTGGAGTCCCATCCAGCTTGCCTAGAGTGTGATTCCAAGTGAACCCTCACTGTCTCAAAGGGCTCTTATGTGACCCATGAGATGGTTTATGGAAAGGGTGCTTTGAGTTCATATAGGACTGAAAGGAGATGATGTTTTTGGATTGTGCTTCCTTTCATCTTTATCTAGCATTTCTATTTTGGTTGATCTTGTATCTTACTGCCTTTATGCCATTTTTTTCCTGTAAGTCATATAATAAAAATCTTCACCACTAGAGATTACTGTAAAATTTATTTTATTGGCTTGCTTATGTTCTTCTGGCAAATCCTAATTTTAATTAAATAACATAACCTTATCCACCTTATTCCTATTCTAGGGTTACTTATTATGTTGACTTTGTTGCTAAGGCTTCCATGGAACAGCAACTCCTTGGAGGAAAGTGTCTTAACAAACATAACAGACAAAAGATAATGTTCATATTTAAATACGCGTGAAGTGATTTTCTATTTAACTCAAAGTTCCCCCTGTTGGTAGACTAACATCATTGCCTAATTGTACAAACCAGTTTGCTATATAGTCTCTTACTTTAAAAATATATAGTTAATTCTGCCATATTATTTTAATAATGATAAGCAGATCGTTGCTTTGTAGGGTGTTTGTAAAAAGCAGCAAATCCAGCAGATACTAATGTATTTAAAAGTTTGTTTTTATAACATTGTTTTTATTGTAGGCGTTAAGATCACAGTGTTGGGACCTCAAAGAACAAGCTTAAAATAATCATTATAGTTCAATTTTAAAGCTTAAAATAATCATTATAGTTCAATTTTAAATTGTGCTTTCATAAAATAATTCAGTTCTTTCTATTCTTAAGTGAGAGGCCAGGGTTTCTTGTCATTAACAGTAATAAACTAACAAAAGCTGGGTGGTTTGGACATCTGATCTTACAAAAGCACGGGATTATACAAAAGGAAAAGCTCACAACTTGAACAAATCAATAAGTGGGCGTTTGACATTTAATTGAATGTGGCTCTCTAATACCACGAAGTGAAAAACGTTGTGCCACTAAAATTTCTGACCAAGAGAGGCTGACTGGCCAGTCAAAATTCCTCTAAGTAAACCAGAAATAGGGGGACTAAGAAATGCCAGCTGTCCAAGGGTTCCTTCACGGCCTGGGTGTAGTCCACTAGTTCTGGGACACACTAATTTCCTTCTACAGATGAATGACAAAGAAAAAGTTGCCCCGGTCTGGGGCAGGCCTGGAAGCAGCCCAGAAGGGAAGTTTGGGTTTTCTCCCTGTGTCTGTTTCTGGGGAACACGACCAAAAACGCCACAGGGGCGTTTGAAGGTCAGGTGCCCAGGCCGGCCTCCACTGGCCGAGGACAGGCTGCGGGGAGCCTCTCCGTGTTGTGACCCCCTGGCCTTTGGCTCCTAGTCCCCAGGCCCCGATGCTCCTCGCGCCGGCCTGGGTTCCCCCGCCCGCACCCAGGTCGCTCGGGTGCCTTCCTGCAGCCCTCCCCCACCAGCCTGTCACTCCCCTCCCCGGCGCGCCGCCCACCTCGCTCCAGGAGGCAGCCGCCCGTCGCCGGCCAGGCACTCCTCGGTGGCCGCGACCTCGGCGCCCCGCATCCTCCGCGCCGCCGCCGGCGGCTCCCGCGGGGCTCCGGGCCCCCGCCCGCCGCGCTGCCTGGAGACCGCGGCCAACACAGCCCGCCCGCGCCGCGCGCTCCCGAACGCAGCTGCCGCCCTGCCCCGGGCGGGGGCGGCTGCAAACGGCCCGACCTGGGCTGCGGGCTGCGGAGCTGCGGTCCCGCCACCCTGACCTTCCCATACTGCAGGGCAAAGGAAAGGAGGCTGTGTTGCAAATGAAACTGTGGGGACACCCGAAGAACTCCGACCAAACGGGAAGAAAAGGACCCCCATTAATGAAGGAGTCAGTGACTGCAATGGATATTTAAAGAGAAGAAGAAGAAGAAGAAGAGGAAGAGGAAGAGGAAGAGAGAAAGAGACAACCAATAAATACCTGCTGTTTATTGGAAAGGGTGCTTAATTCATTAATAATCTGAAGAGGCAAATTTAAAATTATACCGGAGACAGAACTCACCAGACAGACATAAGTTAAAAAGTTTGAGTGCCAGGTGTTAATTAAGGACGGCATAAGACACAGAACCCCCATTTATTGCTGGGGGAAATATGAACTGGCACAACCGCTTTGGAAAATAGTTTGGCCTTAACTGGGATATGTATACTTTAGGATCCAGCAATTTCACTTTCAGGCATTTAGTCTGAAGAAGTGTGTCTTAGGATATGCATCCAAACTGAAGAAAATTGAAGCATTCATTAATAACAGAATGGTTCATTGAATTGTCATATTCCATACACAGGCATACAATGTAATAGTGAAAAGGAATGAAATACAGCAACGAAGAACGAAGATTGAAATGTGTAACAACATGGAGGTATCTTGAAAATTGAATATTGAGCAATAATTAAAACTCAGAAAAAATATATTCTAATTATTTTTATAGAAAATTAAAGGCAGGCTAAATCAAACTGTACTATGTTTATAGATCATACTCAGTGGAAAAAACTATGGGAAGAAAAAAGCCAAGTAGGGATTTCCATAAAATTAGGATTGTGGCAGGTAAGGTGAGGACCACAGGAAAGGGTACTTTCAAAAGATGGTATTTCCTGGGCTGGAGTTGTGGCTCAGTGGTACAGCAGTCACCTAGCAGTGTGAGGCCCTGGGTTCTATCCTCAGCACCACGTAAAAATAAATAAAATAAAGGCATTGTGTACAACTAAAAAATGAAATTTTTTTTAAAAAAGATTGTATTTCCTGACCTTGATGGTGGTTACATAGATGTTCATTTTATAACACTTCATTAAGATGGACATTCATATAGGTGCAGAATTTTTCACTATATCAAAAAAGGTTTCAAAGGAGAGTAAAGAAAAGGAATGTAGGGAATTATATTCTTATTAAAATAGCATTAAAATCACAAGTAGATTTGAGGAACAGTCTTCAAAGAGTCAAGGATGCTTTAATACATTTGCCACCTCAATAATAGAAAGCATAAGGAATTGGAAAATGTCCTTACTACCCAGTTTTATTTTTAAAAAGTTTTTTTTTAATTAAAAAAGTTTTATTATAAAAGCCATTTTTATTCTGCTCTTTTTAAATTAGAGTTGGATTTTTTAAAAAACTTTTTTGACAGTATGAAACTTGTCTTACCAGTGGATGGTTGGACCTCAATGTTCTTTGAAGAAATAAAAGTGAAGTAGCTGAAAGTATTGGTGTTATTTTGCCCTGTATGTTATATAGATTGTCATTCTAGCAATGGCAAACATGCAAACAGTTCCTAAGCCAAAGAAATTGTCTCTCATGGCAGTTTCCAGAATGTTTTTTTTTTAACCTTCCCAGCTTTATTTTTCTCCACAAGCTCTTACTAATACAGTTTATCTGCGTGTACATATAAATGGCATATTTTTGTTTTTACTGTCACAATCCACACTAGAATGCAAACTCCCTGAGGAAGACACTTTGTCTCTTTGTACATACTGTAAAGCCCCAGCACCTAGAACATGATAGTCACTCCACAACTGTTTATTGAAAGAGTAAGACTATGTACAAGTTACGAGCTATGTAGTGAACCTGTTTTAACATAAAAATAATGCATTACAAAAAATATTCCACTAATATTGGTTTCCAAATCAGATATCCCATCTAATACTCCCCTAATTTATCCATTTAGAAGTATATTTAAACTTCCTGGGCTGTCAGTAAGTAGCAGAGCTTTACCTACCATGTGTAAGGCCCTGGGTCCAATCCCCAGCACTGCAAAAATATACACCACCACCACCAGCATTACTACTACTACTACTACTACTACTACTACTACTACTAGTAATAATAATAATAAATTAAATTTATTAAGTTTAAAGTATGGTATACTTAATTCAGATAGTGCATATATTAAATAAGTGTATATGTGCACACAAGAAATGCCTTTGTTAACATTGCATTACATTCACATAAAACTAGGGAAAGAAATAAAGGGATGCAATCCAGAGATAAAGCCTAGAAGTATGTGTGTGTGTGTGTGTGTGTGTGTGTATTATTCTTGAAGTAAAATTCAGTAATCATATTTCAAGCTTCCAGAATGAAAGCCTATTTTAAAGCATAGTTAAAACTTATGCAGTATCTGTCAAATCCCTTACCAACTACAGAACCTGTTTCTCCTTAACTTCTCCTATCTCACTTATCTGAAGAGACTGAGTAAGAATCAAGAAGCGCTCTCCCTCACCTAAGTGTGGATGCTACTGCAGATATATTTTTACTACCTTCATTGTTGTTTAGAAGTTTTAGAGACAGATGTCTTCCTCAGCTTCCAGAATATTATTCTATGGAATCAATGTTGAGTCATTCATCCTTGTTCACCTTCTCATCCACTGATCAGTGGAAACTGATGCTGTGTTTTCTCAGACCCTTCAAGTGCTTTCTGCATCATCCAGAAAAATATTTTATTCTGGCTTTCTGAAAATGAGTGATTCTTACATGGTTCAGGAGTCTACTAATCTGGCAGCTACTGTCAGAGACTAGTCCACACACAGAACATGGAAACCCAGAGCTTGATTTACCTC